ACCTACGATATGGAGAAAGCTTGCAAGGGGGAGAGGGACCGGAGGGTTGCCGTCGAGCGAGATACGGATTCTCATGTCCTTGTTTCCGTCCAGGTCGAGACTCTAGCCCGCCGGTTTCTCCGTACCCCCAAGAGCAACCTTACCACAACTCGCAACTCGAGTCTAGGGTGCCGCGGTGGCGGCTGGCTTGGTATCTGGCTTCGGCAAAGGAAGAATCAGATAATCGCCTAGTGTACAAATATGCACATGGCAGGTTGGCTGCTGCGGCACAGATATTGTAGCGTGCCCTCCCACATTTTGCCAAACGTGTTCAGCGAATAATGCGGCAGCCAATAGAAAGATGATGGGAACCGAACGTCACTGATGAAGTGCCCAGGACATTTTCCTGCCCTGGATGCCGTCATCGTCGTCTTTTTCTCGTTGCGGTGCCTACCACATACCTTGGCCTGACTGGAATGAAGTCGAACCTACGCGCATTGCATCCTACCTCGTTGCTAGCGGTATGCAAAACTCAATTGACACTCTGGCATATTTGACAGCACCTACCTGCGCATCCGACCGCCCGGCCGATGCCCGACCTTATGAACACGGTCGATCACAAAAAAAAGAGAACAGACTGGACTCTCCGTGGGCCCCGCCTAGAAACGAGACTAAACCCCATGAAGGAGGGGCACTCCCCTCCAACGACCCCGGGGCCACCGCTGTTGCGACCTGTGTTGCTGCTGATGCTGATGCTCATGCTGCACCGGGCTTGCTGCGACTTCACATGGCTGCGACTCCATCATGTGAAGTCGTGTGTACCTGGGACTCAGGGCCGTGCAAGTACCTCTGGCGTAGCGTCTTGTGCGCGCTATCAAGTACCCGACGACGCCGACCACCACCCTCTGCTCCGGCGTTTTCTTCCTGCGACAGGGGACATGGCGATGCGGACAAGTGCATCCCCACACGTCGCCGGACGGAATCGCGACGAAGCAGCGTCGAGTTCGGGCAGCTGTAATTCAATGCAGAGAAGCACACGGAACGGACAACGGCTTCGAGAAGACCAACTCCAGGAGTGTTCCAGTCGCAAGAGCCGCGTCTCAGACTTTTGGAGTTCGGTCTCTGCAGCGGGCGACAGAGTCATGTCGCCGAAGCTGTGGTCGCAGTAGGGCATCTGCAGTAGGGCAATCGAGAATGGGTACTTTATCCAATGTACATTAAGCTCCCGTCCAGCCGGCTCGGTTCCTGTGGGTGCCCGCAGCAAGATGAGCAAAAGATATGTACATACCTTACTGCTGCCGTTTGCTCCTCTCTTACTAAGTCACCTTAGTAAGTAAGGCTCTTCGTCCACACGGCAGCCACATACTAGAGGCACCTGAAAAGAGGACACTTACCCAACTAGACCCGATAGCGCGAACCAAGTCTGTATCAAAGACCCCCGTGATGCCGTCTCCAGACTTCAGACACCACATCGCCTACCTCGTCGAGGAATTGGAAAGTCCCGCAATAGGCGAAAAAATGATTTGCTGCGAGGTGTCTCGGGCATCGAGGAGGTCGAGGCATGCGGTTCCTGCTGTTAGTGCACCACCATCGGCTCCGCCGCCGAAAAGAGGTCGAGGGCTTGGTGCGGTGCCTGTGTCCGCACTAACGTGGGCTACCTGACCCTGCTTCCGTGGTTTGTGCCCAATCACCAGGGGCAATTACAATATCAGCCAATTTTCTGTGGTCTGGAGACCTCGATTTTTTTATTTTTTTTCCCTCGCACGCCTGCAAGTCCGGGGCGGGGGGAGGGGGTGCCAGGTGCTCCTCCTGGAGACGAGCCTCGTCTCTGCGGGACCTTGGACCCCTGTCGCATCGTGCTTCCGTCGGTGGCAGTGTGGATGATGAAGAGCCTCGGGAGGCTTCGGTCGCAAGCTTTATATCTCGTAGTTCCGGATCTGCCCTCGGGCGGAAGGAGGAGTTATGATAGGAGATAGACTCGTCTCGCCCGAGGCAACGTCCGAGCTTGTCGCTTATCATCGCCACGACGCCGATTGGCTGCGCAGTTCCTCCTGCGAACTGCCAACTCTCTTACTGGGACTTTCCTTATGTAACACACTCCCTTCCCAGGCCCGATGGTGATGATGCCGGTTGCTTCCCCACATTGGAAGATCATGGTGCATATAACAGTTAACATCACCATGACTGCTTCAGCAAGTGCTGCGGCAAAAGAGATGCCCACCTCTTTGAGCTCCAAGATACATATCCACGGAAATCTTGCAGAGCGATATTTGGCCTCGCTCTATGACCTAGTAGTCTTGGAGACCAGATTCAGCATGAGTAGATTCACTACTCAAGGCATCGTCAAATTCGCCAATGGACGAGTCGTTCGCTGAGCAAGGCTTCTGCGACCCTCTGCTCCTGGAAAGCATATTGGGGCAATCATTCATCAGCGCATCTGACTTGCAACCACCAGAACGTGCAAGTTTGTGCTGTCTGATGCCACGCGGCTAACCATCGAATACCGCACGAGACAGTAGGAAGCGCAAGCTACCATCGCTCATCTCAGTTTGCGTTCACGAAACAAAATTTTGATAGTCGCTGATCATGGCTCGACAGGTGTGGCACGCCAGCGGCAGCCTTCCAAGTTGGCGAACTCAATCGCCTCCAATTCAATCACCATCAGGGCTCGTCTTTTCTTCTTTTTCTCTTCCTCACTCTGTCCCTCTCATCACTTTTGAACCAGCGACAGAGTGATTAAACAGGTACGATGCGGAGCTTGAATGAAGCCATGCGAATGGTCCACCTTTCAAGCGCCGTTCTGTGTCTAAACATAGAACCGATGCCGCAACTCAGGGTCCTGAATTCGATGGCTCTTAACAAAATGTGCAGGCAATGATATGATCGTGAGCGTACGCTCCTTGAGTGCTGAGTGGCCTCCGATCCGCAGTGGCACGATTTACGGTGCTATTTTTATCAACCTTGCGCTCGCAATGGTCCAATTGACCTCTGCCGGCCTCCGGAGTGCGGCCGGCACGTTTATGGCGGTTCAGATGATATCGCATGGCTGGCGGCGCCTCGGTTGATTATTGCAGTAGGAGCACAAGGTGCTTCTGCTCTGCTGCTGAACAGCTTGAGCAGCTTTGCTGGTTTTTCTCCTTGTTGCCTACAGCCATTGATGGGGTTTAGAGGGCCCTTTGGTGGTCTAAAATAGGAATACGAGGTTCGCAGCGCGCGTAGTGGGAGACCCCGGGCGACGGTGGCTGGTAGCCGCAGACGCGACTCGTCGGGCCGGAATAGCTTCAACCCACGTCACAATTTCCCGTGTCGGGGGCGATATGATGCGATTCGGGCTTGGCCACTGCTGTCGGCGTTGATAGCGCCGTGTCCTTCACCGACAACTCGGATCTGCACATCGGGGCTGGCTGCAAACAGGGAAAAGACGAGGTCAAGCAATGGAGGAATTAACCAATGGGGTTGCCTCATACACACCGGAAGACGGCAGCGGACCTTAGGACTGGCCTAACTCTCACAACACCTGAGCATCAAGCGACAAGCTATGCGGGACTCACGACAATGCGCAGGGTTTGTAGAGCAGACAGCAAGGCAGGCGGCTGTCAGAAATGCGCGTGAGAGGTTCTCGGCCATATGCGTGCTTCGTAAGGCTGAGTTGAGTCGGCGGAACGTACATGACAATTCTGGGTTGCTTACAAAATGCCTTGGCAAAAATAAAAGGGTGATTACCTATGTGACGCAATGGGTCATATGGGGAATGCCGGGGTGAGAAAAGAAGCATCCCAGACCTCGTGTCTGCAGACGGGGGTTAGGTATGCGGTCTACCCTCTCGTTCGCCCACTCGTTCGTACCAGCGGCATGGGAACGCTGCATTGGTGCTGGCGTCGGAGGAAAGCGACCAGCGGTGGTTGTAGTGTGTCCCTTTGGAGACAATGCATATGCAGAGGAGCCAACACTTACCGACGAGGCGAAAGGAAGAAAAGGAAAAGAAGAACGTTGTTGGCCTCAAGTTTAGTTGCTCTCGTGTGAAGCTGTCAGCCACAGACAGACAGGGCTCTGGTTTGTTGCCTGTTTTGGAACACAGTCTTCCACACGGCCCAGAGCACTGCCTTTCATGTGTCTTGTTTGGTCTAGTCATATCGTAACTAACCATGCCGTTGACAGGAAGGACAGAAACGCCGAGAGCTAGATGCCGCCCACAACGACGGGAAACGATGCACCATAACTCAAATTCAGCTGCATGACCCATCGGGCAAGATCTCGCCTTCCCTGCCTCCCAGTTCCAGACGTAGCCTAGCTGACACACCACCCCGAACGACACCCCATCCTGGGGTGGGAACCGGGTCGAACATCAGGGCAACAGTTTTTCGCACCGCGCATCTGTTCCTCGTCGGTACCGCGCGCTTCATTATCGCCTTGTTCCGTTTGCCTCTTCTTTTCCTCCCCTTCTCTTGTCTCTTCCAAGCCGCAACGAGGATCCTTACTTCCACGTCAATCCCTTCCTTACACACGCTTACTCACGAGCGTTGTTCGATGACCTAACTGGCACGGCCATGCCCCCGATGTTGGCGTTCTGAATAGACGCTTACTCCGTCCGGGCTACCATCATCTTCTTCTCGATTCATTAAACGTCTTCTTGTGTGGCTCGTGTGAGTGTGCGAGCTCGTGAGGAAGAGCAGCCCACGCGGGCCGCAACTCACGCCCAAACCCATCCCACCTCCATATAAGGAGGGCCGCCACCGACGGCGGGCTTGATTGTGCCCCTCCTCGGACTTCCTCACCATGTCCATCAAGCATCGCGGAGCACCGCCTGAGCCGAACAGACAAGAGATAACCCGGGAGTATCGTCAAAGTTCAGTCCTGCTGAGAGGGAAGAAACGTCAACGACGCGGAAGCCCGTCGGCCGTTGCGGAGTTCCACCCACGCCAAAAGCGGAGAGCCGCAACCGCTGCCGCTCCGGACCGGCGACGACCACCCACCCCGTCTCTACGGCACCAGAGCTGCCGCACCTTCCATCACTTGACACCATGTCAGGCCCCTCAAGCTCCTCGTCTCCTCTAATCTCGACCAGACGCCGTGCCTGCACGGCGTGCCAGCAAGCCAAGCGTCGTTGCGACCAGCGGCTGCCACGATGTGGCCGATGCACTCAAAAGGGGCTCGAGGACTGCAACTATCCATCCCTTGAGGCCGCTGTCGCCGCAGCAGATTTCAACTTCTTCACCGATGTTCTCAGCGGCTCCGCGGCAACGCCGGACTCTCTGCATAACATCATGCCGGTACCAATCGTGCCTGACACCGACAACTCGTGGTCCATGTTCTACAACAACAACAACAACAACAACAACAACAGCAACAACAACAACAATAACAACACGGCCGCGGGTCCGACGCCATCATCATCGCTGCTACCGCCGCCGAGCAGTGAATTCGTCTCCCGGGACACCGTGACGTACTGCAGCGAGCAGTTCAGGAACTACCCTCGGCGCTGGGTCAGCCAGAATGGCGTAGCCCCCTTTATACACCCGGCTCTCTACCTCCCTACGACGAACGGCGCTGACGGACTGCCGCCAGTTTTGCAAGACTGTTTCTGCGCATGCGCAGCATACTCGGCCAAGAACGACGAAAACGCCGCCCTCGTGCTAGGCGTCCTCGAAGCCAAGGCCACCTCCCTCCTTTACGTCCCAGAGCAGGCGACATGGACTCTGCCACAACAGGTCGCGGCGCTGCAGGCGCTCGTCATGTACCAGATCATGCGCTGGTTCGATGGCGATATCCGTCAGCGCGTGCTGGCGGACTCTGTGGAGCCCGTCCTCGCAACGTGGACGTCTGCCCTGCAATCACGCGTGGGCGCAGGCGTATTTTCGACTGAGGAAGCAATACCCTCCGTCGTCCTCCCGGAGTCGCACATTCCGCCACCACAGCAGTCTTCGTCATCCTCCTCAACGTATCAACATGAAGGCCTCTCGCCGAGCAATTCTCGCTCCAATACGCCCGGCAGGCTCGCCAAAGAGGAACTGAAGGCCGTCTGGCGCCGCTGGTTGATGGCGGAGACGATCCGCCGCGTGCTCGTCATGGCACACCTCGTCCGCGCGGTATACGCGACGGCTAAACAAGGAGGGGGTTACGGGAAGCCCCGGGGCGGCGGCGGCGGCGGGCATCACGGGGCTGGGGCTCACCATCAACCCCTGAGCCTCTCGGACATGAGCTTCACGGCCCAGGCGAGGTTATGGGCAGCAACGACAGCAGAGCGGTGGAATAGATCGCGTGAAGGCGATACCCCTTGGTGGGTTGGCGGGATGGACTTTTCCGGTCTCCTGGCGCTCGCAGACCCGAGAGATGTGGATGAGTTTACGATTCTGCTCGCCGTTGTGTTTCATGATAAAGATACCATCGAGGACTGGATGAATCACGGCCCTAGTGGCATGTGATGTGTATGTTTTCTCGTGTGGCAAAGAAGACTTTCAGAAGTAGAAAACGAGAAGGAGGGGGCGGCTTTTTGTTTTTCCTCGTTAGTTTCTTTCCGTCTTGAGATTGCGTCAGCCAGACCGGCGTTTCGGCGGGGACGGTCTCGTTTCGTGCATCATCAGCGTTGTCATCAGCATTTTCTTGTTTTCCTCTATTGGTCTGTAGACAGTTGCGGATGTCTTACGGTTTTTTCTTCACGCCTTTCGCAAACGGTTTTCAACAGAAAAAAAGGGGATGATTCAGAAGGACTTGATATCCAGAGGGCTCGAGTGCATAGCATGGCGGATAGATGGTTACGAGTGCGATGACAGCAGTATTACGGCCGAAAAACTTCAGATAGACGAATTAGTACAGACATGTTAGAATAGCATATGGTATTTTGTGACGCAATGTTGTTGTATTGTACATAAATAAGCATTGTGATATATTTGAAGCTCGTTGGGGCTATGTTACTTGCGGGTATTACCTTGACGAGAAACGAGTACCAAAACGCCAACCGCAAGACCATCGCCACCTAGGGTCCACTTGTCTTGTGCGTTTTGGGAAGATAGCTACACACCGGCAGAAGAAGCTACGGGGTTGATACTACCAGGCCGCTGTCGATTAACAGAACCCCGTACAATTTGGTTGAAGTGAAGATGCGAAGAGACTCAATATAGAGAGTTTAGCGGAGGTTGATGTTTGATTCATTAGTCGTAATCTATTCCTCGAGGTGGAAGATTGTAAATGCCATGGTGTCTATGTAATGATTTCCTCCCATTCACGCTCACCGGTCGGCGGCGGTATCTCCCTTCTCATTAGAACCAAATCAGGCATACAAAAGGGCATCCTTAGGAAAGAAGGCCGCGCCATGCCTCCTCGCCGGCGCAGGTTACGCAGCCAGGCTGGATCATCTCCCTTCTGTTTTTTTATTTGTTTCAGGCGCAAAGAATGCAGGCTTGTCGCTTTCCATTGTCTGGAGAGCAGAGGCCGGGTTGATCTATATGCCCACTACAGCTCGTAGAGGACCGGCTCAGCACTCGAATGCTCTTACTGCGACGAAACTCTGCGATCCCGGGTATCGTCTTCCCCAGAAGACAAACTGCCCGAGACGAGCGGATGCGGGGCCGTGACGATGGCACTTAGCACATCTTGTATTCGGCAGAGCCCTCAGCGGCACGGGTGGGGTCCTCAGTCGGGAACTTGTAGGCGATCTTGATGTCTAGGTCGCGGCGGTTCTTCTCATTGGGCTTGACCTCGAGGCTGGCCTCAACCTCCTCGCCGGCAGACATGGTAAGAACGTCCTTCAGATAGAAGACAGTCTGCTTCCAGTGGGTGTACTTCGTATGCGGACCAGTGGAGAAGCGGATTGGCTTGTGGGCGGCGCTGAAGTCGATGTCAAACCAGGCCACGAGGGCGTGGATGAAGTCGTCGCGGCGGGCAGACAGCTTGAAGTTGGTGGCGAAGGCCAGGTCGGCAACCTGGCACTTGTACAGGTCCAGGGTGAGAACGGCGGCGGGGTCCGTGACAACGGCCTTCATGTCGACGGTGTCGACGAGCGGCTCGGCGAGAGCAGTGGCCTTGAGCGGCGTATAGTCAAAGCCGTACACGTTGTCCCAGACTGGAGGTTGCGGTTAGTGTCTGAGGTATGACTGACTGGCAACTATGTTTGCCTGCCAAGAGTCGTGGTCGAGACTTACATCCAATCTTCTCATCCTTGTAGTCGCCATCCTCGATACCAGCAACAAAGATGGTCGCCTTGTCGGGGAAGATGAGACCGCCAGGGTTGAGATACCTGTCACGGGCATAGAGGACAGTGTCCAGCATGGACTCGTAGAGCAAGAAGTAGCCCATCCACTCAGAGATGATGATGTCAACCTTGGGGAAGGGGAGCTCGACCTCCTCCATCTTGCCCTGGATCAAGGTGATCTTGTCGGACATGCCGTTAACCTTGACGATCTCGCGGGCCTTGAAAATGATGGTGGACATGTCGACACCAATAACGTGCTTGGCACCGGCCTTAACGGCGAACCTGCGCGAAGGGAAAACCTGTCAGTCTGGGGGCTCGTTGGAAGGACAAAACTGCGCGGAACAGTCTCGGAATAGGCGTACATGGACAGAATGGCAGTGCCGCAACCGACATCGAGGACAACCTTGTCCTTGAACAGGTGCTTGTTCTGGACAATGGCGTTCATGTAGGAGCGTGTGCGGACCTCATCTTTCTGCAGAGGAGACAGGGTTAGCGAGTGGTTCACCACAGATGCCAGCCTTGGAGGGGCAGCTAGCTGTGCGACGTGTTTGGCGGGCTGCATACCAACATCTCCTCGTGGATGCCTGTTCCACATTCCTTCTCGTTAGACAATTTCTTCCCCTCATCGATCGCACGTTGCAAGAAGAGGCTTACCGTGGTGGTCGTAGCTGCATAGCGTCTGTTAGCGACAGTGTCCTCGCTCTGGAGAAAAAAGCCTCCAATCACCCGGGGAGAAAACAACGTACCTCTTGAAGTAATGCTGCTCAGAGTGCGCCATGGCCTTGAGCTTCGCCTCGGCGGCGTCGACCTCCATGTGGTCGCCAGACATGGTGAATACTCGGCTGGGTTCGGGAGGGGTAGGGTTGAACAAGAGGCAGCTGCAACTATTTACTGCGACAAGTTAGAAAGTGGAAGCGGATGTGCCTGGTGGTCCTCGAGATGAAGGAGGAAATTTCACGAGGAAAGGAAACACGGACAAGCGCGCGGTGAAGGAGGAAGGGTCGGCTGGCGGGGCTGGGCCTGAACGGAGACCTTCTACACGATCGGGCAGAATGGACTGGACTGGACGGGACTGGACCTCTGAGATGCAGAGACTGCCACGACTGGAGGGGAAGAGAAGAAAAAATTAAAGCTGATTGCGCCGCTCATGCCTGTCACCGCCTGCACCCTGCATCGGCCAGTCCCCACTTCCCATTTTTGGCCACACTGCGCGGCCCTCCCAGCTGGCAGACCCTTATTGTCGGCCCGTTCCATGCCACTTTACCACCAATTGGGACCTGCTGTGAGCGAGACCTTTTCCATGGATGATAAAAGTTTCCCATGTCCGTTTGTCGTTGAGGAGCATCTCTTATTTGGTTCCTCATCGGCACGCGGACATCAAGTCATTAGGCCGCGAACATGTAAATGAACTTGAAGTCTCCTGAGTTAGGAATCATGAAGTACACAGAATGAACGGAATAGTCCAACAATTGCCATCCAACGCCACGCTATGCTATGCGACTCAGACAGAGACCACGACTCGCGGGGGAAAAGTTCCAAGACCTAGCACCACCTCTCATGTGGCTCTCTCCACTTAACTCCCAAGATCTCAAAGATCTTTCTCTCATCCTGGCCCTCAACCAATTCGCCCTCGGTCATTTTGACCCGACCAGGGCCCCTCATCACATCCTTGTATAAACCTCTCTGGTTTAACCGCATCCCCTTCTTGGAAGCCAGTAGCCGGATGCTCCTGTTGAAAATGTCGTTGCCAGTAAAGTATATCAGCGCCGCCCCTAATTCCGTTTCAGGAACAAGGAGGAAATCAACACGTCTCCATATTTTGCGGTAGTCTTTCTCATTGAAGCCGTTGATTTTCGGCAAAACACAGCAACCGTGCCACTTGCTACCGTCTCCCTCGTCTCGTGAGCTCGCCAACCTGGCGACGAGAAACCTCTGCGACTCCAGTACACGGACTAGTTCGTTAAGGAACGAGATGAGGTCGGATGTTGACTTGGTGCCCTTTTTTGTGATCAAAAAGTCGACATCTCCACTATTTTCTGCTCCCCTGCGGTAGCTGCCACCGATGATGATTTGCACCGCCGGGTCCAACTTTGCTGCCTCCGACCTCACAACAGCTCCCAGAAGCTTGACCTCAGAACGTGGGATGCGAGTGTTTAGATCATCGTAGTGGTCGATGCCAACATGTTGGTTTGCGGTCAGCTTGGCCTTTTGCTTCAAGTCCCCGAGCGTTCTGAAGCCTTGAGAAATCCAGTGGCTAGCTTGGACGCTGCCCACTCCGTATATCTTGAGGAACGTCTGCAGAATCTCATCCATAGGCTCACTTTCGGCATGCTCCAAGCGCTGGAGCCTATTAGTCGTGACGATCTCCTCGATCTTGTCCGCGAGTCTCTGGCCAACGCCGGGCAACCTGATTGCTTCTTCGGCCGTGGAAACTTTATTGGGCTGTCGTTTGAGTTGTGTGATGGCCTTCCGATATGCAATTGGGCGCCATGTATCATTTGTCCGCGTATAGTAGTCGCACATCTGTTGCAAGACCTCGATGGTGCGGTTGTTCGGATTGGTCTTGTCGCCTCCTTTCGTCCCTCCCTTATAGCAGGCAAATCTATCTTCCCAGGTCAAGTCTTTCCTGCTGCCGGACTTCGTGACAGACTGTTTCTTTCTCTGGCGCTCATCCTCAGAGCATTCATGTTCGGATTCTGGCTCGACTGGGTCCGAACTTTGCAGATCGTCTTCGTCACGTTCCAATGGCAGATCCCTATATCTCTGCAATTGGGAAATGACTCCCTCGAGTTCATCGCCGGGTGCCAAAGCTGGACTTCCTCCTGCTGGACTAGAGGAATGGTCACCAGTCCCATCGAGGGCCTGGTCAGACAAGGTTTGTCCGGCTTCTGAATGTTGGGCCGGTGTGATATCTCTCAGGGCGAGAGGCGAACCTGTCGCTGGCTGTTGCTCACTTCTTCTGTCCGAAGAATCCTGACTTCGTGAAGGTGTCGAAGGGGGTGCGTAGTCCCATTTGTCAGGCTTGGTTTGGCGCTTCTTAAGCGGTCGGTCCTGTAGTGGCAGCACTGGAAGTTGAGGTTGCTGATGTTCAACTGCCAAACTCGATGAGTGTTCCGGACATCCAGACACTTGGTATTGTTTCTGACCAGCGTTTAACAATGTCTTGAACCGAACACAGTCGAGCGGGTATTCTTCGGTGACGACAGTATATGCAGGTGAAGCATTTGTAGAGGAAAGGATTTTCTCAATGTTCTTCCATTCCAGCTTCTTGTCTACAATGACGTGGGTCGCGTCCTCCAAATTCCTCACCCAAGTGGCGCCGTACTCCTGTGATTTTCTGATACGAATCTTCCTGGCAGGTGCGATGTCGTCGTTGGGGATGAAGTAGAGGCGCATTCCGCGCAAGACCTGTTGCGCATCCGGCACAAGCTTGAGACTCGGCTCCCTCTTTCTCTTTTTCATGGCCATGATGGACGGCGAGTTGTCCGCTACATGAGCAAGCAAATGCCGCTTTGCTGGGAGCGGGGTCGTGGAAATTCTTGTGAGAGTGGGTAGGGGCTGGAGGGGCTGCCTGGATGAAGAGTCCGGAATTGGAGTGTCCTCAACAAAACTGGTGTCTGCGGCTGGAGATGCACCTCGATCTTTCCTTCCCGGGCCCTTGATCTCGGCGAGAGGAGTGCGTTCGATGATGTCCTTCCGCCTAAACTCCGCGAGGGGCGGTGTGGTCGATGTCGGAGCTGAAGTCGTCCTTGTTTTAGTTGGGTGAGAAGGAGGAGCGATGACAATTGGTGATGTTTCTCGTAACGGTTGACGAGGTTGCGCCGCGGCTTGGAAGGCCTTTAAACGTCGTCTGTGCTGTTCCTCGGCTTCCTCAAAATCGTCGTCACCATCATCTGCCAAGTAACCGATGGCCTCCAGATGATGAAAAAAGCGAGCTTTGTCTCTCAATGGGGTGTCTGTGTTTGTCATGGTGCGTCGACGATGTCCAAGAGGTTCGCGATAGCCCTGCTGTTGAACGCTGCTGAGCCGCCGTCATGTCGAGGTTGGTTCGCTGCCTGGACTTGATGGATGGATGGACGGAGCAAAATTCTAGGTGGGCGAAGGCGACACCGAGGCAAGGCAGCTTGCCTGTTGGGGTGAGGTGTCAATTGAAGGGAGGGATGGATGGATGGATGGATGTCTTTGTTATGGCCCATAGGTAGGTCGGTGCGATTGGAACTGAATATGGGTGGCCCGAAAGGGGTGCTGCACCGTGGGGAACAGCGCCGCATTAGTGTTGTGGCCGCTGCAAGTCATCCAATTAAGCCATCCATGGATGCCTCAGCACTGACAGCTCCCCCACCGGTAAGGTAAGAAGCACCCAATAGGCTCTTTCCGAGCGGATTGGCTCCAGCCTGCCTCAGATCGACTAGATGTGCATCGACACGGAATTCTTCAAGGCAGGATACGTGCATGGGTCTCGGACTCAGCATACCTACCTTGGAGACATGGGATCTAGCAGGCTAATCCATCGGCATCCTGCCATCAGCCTCATCGGCTCCAACTTTACGAACAGTCATGCAGCACGGTATGTTCGACCAGCGCAACCCGCACCTCTTTCGCCAACTAGGTCTGCCGATCATCGCACTGGTGGTAAGACGTTGAATTCCGTTTACTCGAACAAAGAAACTTATTTTGGTCTATTTGCCAAAAAAGAACCAGCCCACGAGTCGTCGCCGGCTTGTCCTGCTTTTAGTGTATAAATTACAACAAGTACAGCGGTCAGGGAAGGACCGTCTCATCCTCCGCTTCCCATGGTATCACCGTAGTCCAAAACTTCCAAGTGTATGTTCAAAACGTCGCTCATTTCCATCATAGTTTAACTCCTGATAGTTGATAAGTCCCACCTTGTAGCGATCAGGCTGAAGGCTTGAAGGTGACTGTGATATTGGATCCTGGTTGGGCCGGTAGCATTGCCGTGCTGTGATAGGTTTGGTTGTTCCATCGGAATCTCCTTCCAGGATCCTTCAACTTTTATTTTTTGTTTTCTTGTTTGAATCGGCGCTGCATCATAGTCATGTATGGGGTTCACTGGGCGTGACCAAACTGTGGAGGGAAGTGTGATGATCCTGCGAAGTTGCGAGCATCCATCAACGGAATGCTGTTGTTCTTCTCCATCGGTTGGAAGGACGCCATGTCGTTGGAGTAACGGCTGGCAGCCTCGTTGTCCATGTCATTCAGAACCTCCCTGGTAAGCTCAACATAGTCGTATGCAAACTCGCCGATCTCGGCATCGTCGATACCTAGAATCTCGGCCTCCTCCGTGGCGCGAAGACGAAGGCCAGGGATCATGTTCATGATGAAAAGTATGATGCAAGTACCAACGAAAGAATAGGCACCGCCAGTGAAGGAGTCAGCGAGCTGGTACCCAAGCTGAATCCAGTTGTGGTTGATCCAGCCGCCGTCGATGGTTGAAACGCCGTCCAGGTGCGCAATGTAGTTAGCAGCGAAGAAGGCCGTACAGACGTTGCCGACCAGACCGCCGATGCCGTGGACGGCGAAAATGTCGAGGGCATCGTCAATCCTCAGAATGAACTTCAGCTTGGTGGCGTAGTTAGCAAAGGCAGCTCCAAGGACGCCGAAGGGAACGGCAGCCCACACTGGGACGTATCCTGGAGTAAGTCAGTAAGGTGTGGTCCGTCGCAGGTACACACTGCGCATCACGTACCAGAACCAGGAGTAATGGAAACCAAGCCAGCAACGACACCAGAGCAGAATCCGACCGTGGACCACTTGCGCTCCAGCCTGTAGTCCAGTACACACCAAGTGATGCCTCCGACGCAAGCCGCTAGATTCGTTACGACAGCAGCAAGGACAGCGCGCAAGTTTGCCGATAGCGCCGATCCAGCGTTGAAACCAAACCAACCAACCCACAGAAAGACGGTGCCAATAACAATGTGAGTGACATTGTGGGGTCGGTAGTTGAGCTCGTGGGTGCCGTGACCGCGGCGCTTGCCCAACATCATGGAGTAGGCCAGAGCGGCTGTGCCAGACGCGATGTGCACGGGGGTTCCTCCGGCAAAGTCGAGACCACCCATCTTATTAGACCAGCCACTAGGGTTCCACGTCCAGCAGGCGATAGGATCGTAGATAACCGTCGCCCAGATAAACATGAAGATGACGCACGGGAGCATGCGTCCACGCTCGGCAACGGCTCCGGTCGCAAGAGCAACCGTGATGCACGAGAACATTCCCTGGTACACGGCGAAGAGGAGATCGGGAAGGCGGTCGGAGCCTACGGAAGGTCGGGCGAGAACGTTCCTGAAGCCAAAGTTGGCCAGGTCGCCAATAAAGGCGCCTGCTGTGTGCGAAAAGGTGAGAGAATAACCCCAGAAGAACCATTGGAAGCTGGTGACGGCCGTGGCCATAACGGAGAGCCAGATGAGAGACAAGGCCGACTTTCTTCGGGCCAATCCAGAGTAGAAGAAACTGAACGAGGTGGTGTTAATCACTGCACTGGTGACTGTCGTTCGGAAGTGATCGAGCTTACCCGACTCCGGGGATCATGAGCAGCACGAGAGCTGTCGCAGTGATCATCCATGCGATATCACCAGTCTTGAAGTCCCCTCATTAGCGGTCCGTCACATGGGCCTCACGAATGTGAGGAAACGTTGGCCGCGACATACCTCGTACCAAATGTTGAGATCTTCTGTGAGAGAATCTCCTCCTGTAGGGCCGGAGCCGTTGTATGGCACCAGGTGCACGTAGTCGAGGTCGTTGAGGTCGACCTGGTCGACCAAGTCTCCGAGGGACGCCATTGTTCTAGGTCGTTCGGTAACGCTCGAAGCCGATTCGGGAAATCGTATACACTGGGACCGCGGAGACAGTCGATTACAGACCAGACCACGGCCAGACGGGACAATCGACAAAATGCTGAATCAAGAGGCCTTGTCGACAGGCTCTAAGTGAGCGAAGGCTCGGATGAGAGCGCTGTATACCGTCGCGGGGTTTGCAGAAGAGACAGCAATGGGTCAGGCAACATGATGAAGTGCGGACGAAACTGTGTGGACGTGGGAGGCGCGAAGCTTATGAATGTGGATGCCAGGCGTTCAGCACGCAGAGTTGCGTTGCGGGCGGCGGAATGAGTAGCCCTGAGAGTGGCGGGCAAGCTAGCGGGACGGACGGTACTTTGGAGTTCGCAGGCCTCGCCCGACGACTCCAGAGGCAGCAAAGACACCGACCGGCGGATCAGAGAGCAAGAAAGAGTCGCAGCATTACTGGGCTGTCCCACGGAGGACGCCTGGGAACTGCCTGGGCCGTTCAGGGCCAAGGCTTGCCGGACTAGGGACTAGGGTGTGGCCAAAGTTTTCTTTCGAGGGGGTTACGGGTGTGGGAGGTCGTCTCTCACTCACTCACTCACCCACACTCTCCCACCTTCATCTTTCATACTCACCAATGCAGGCGTTGCAGGGTTTCCAGCAGGGTTCCATTTCCAGCAGGGCCAATCGGCAGGGGGGAGGCACGGGGGCGGAGGCTTATCGATTGCGACGTACCTGTCCGTAGATCTACTCTACGCAGTAGTGCCTCTGCCGTCAGGGGTTTGGAAGGGGGATTGGATGAGTGGTCCAGGGGACAGACGAAGATGCGATACATACCTAGCCGACGGCTTTTAACCTGCTACAGTATGTGAGGTCTGCCAACACAGCGACGCAGTCGGAGGGAAAAGCAACCTCAGACGGCTACTACCTACCGCCGTACAAAAGCCGCCGTACAAAAGAAGACGACGGGTCGCCGTGTTTGGTTAGTGCGTATCCGTATCTCGTCCAGGACTCCAGACCGAGACTAATCTTGCTGACTTGATCCAACCTGGCATCAGACGGCCTTGTTGGACGACGGCACGCAGAGCTCTTGAGAACAAGTTCCATCAAACCAGGCCTTTCGTTCGAATGCAGGTCACAATGGATGAAAAAATGCATGTGCTTCCTTAATTTGACCACGCCCCCTCCCTGCTGCATCACAAGGGTCCGGATTCCCATTGACTGGCAGAGAATCAATGGGGAAGCACCCGCTGCTGTTATCAAAAGCAAGGGTTCCGGGTGTCTAGCACGGTATAGATAACGGTCAGAGAAGCCACCTACAGTCGATGCCTCATATTTTCAGCTGTCAAATTGTACGTGCCGTTTCTCCTGTTCTCCGAGTAGCCGACAATGATGCGGTCGTTGCAGTCCCGAATAAAGACGACAATGGCCAGAACATGTCCTTAGTCGCTACGGGCGCAGGATAGGACAGATCCGGGGAGGCACAGCGACATCTCCTAGACCCCTGAGACGATGCACCAGCGGGCGAAGCGCTGTTTGCAGCCGGATGGACTTCATTGCCAATTACCATAGTACACTGCGAGGACACCGTTTCGCTCGTCTGGCCATGGCGGCAACTGTGATGAGCGCGACGGCATCGGCACGAGAGACAGACACATTTCGGGTAGGGCTTCGGTTCGGGATGGGTATTCACTATTCAGGGACAAACGAAGGCGAAAAATAGGCTTTAGGAGATGCATGGAAAGTGAACCACGTTGTGTATGACCATGTTTCTTGAGACGAAATACGGAAAAGTCGGCCGTCGTCTGGTGTCTGCCTGAAACGGGCGGAATTTGAGCAATCTCATCACTGTCATGATTCGCCCAGTGTCTGAGTCCTTCATCATCTCCGTTCATCTCGTCCGCCTGCCGTATTCGACATGGCACTGAGCTGAGCAGACCAAAGCAGAGAATCAGAAGAGCAATATCCATAACTAAGTTACCCAAGCACCAAAGGTACCTTAAGGAGGCGAAGCTCCCCAGTTCTTAGCTTTGCAGCTTCCCATCTGGACATCGAGCCCATAACGCCGGTTTGGGGAAGTGGACAAGGATGACAAGGCAACCTTCCCGCCGCTACCAACCTGATGGGAGACCGAAGGCAGCACGCCTACCTTACGACAAAAGAAGGCAGGGG